TAAATAATAATAAAAGTTTTAAATGTGATATTGAAGAAAGTTTTCCCTCTTAGTCAACCTAGAGCAACTACTTTGTATTGTTAAATTAAACTTATTCTATCATGTTGGATCCTTTGCCACTTGTATGAGTGTTTGGTTCTGTATAAGCTTCATGTCTTTACTTTTTGGTGTCGAAGGCAGCACTCTGTTGGCCTACTAGGATGGTTCAAAGTAGTAATTGCTTAGGCCTTCACCCTGCCAACGACTGTGTGTGAGTAGGATTCTGAGTCTGAGTCACTGAGTAGAACTTGTAATTAAAACGACTAAAAGAAGAACTGTAATCTTTGAAATCTCTGCTCCTCACTTATATGAGGGGACTTCAAATAGCCCATGAAGAAATGAAATTAAAGCATGAGTTTGTGTTCAGTACAAACATTTTTAAAGTCCCTGTGTAGTTCTTCCATGATGTGTATTTTCCATGAACCTTTTGAAGACCTCTCATATATCTATAAAATGGAAGAATTGGTAACTGCCTTCGAAGGAGCCTCCCAATTCATTGTGGTATGCTGAAAGTCTCTGTCTATTATAAACCGTCTTCCTCGGCCAAGTCTTCTGGAGCTCTTTCTCTGGTTCTGCATCATTCTGGGAGGCTTTGAAATTTACTGGAAATAAAGAATACAATGCCTTTCTAGCATCCACTACTATGGGAATGGAGGCCAGATCCATCTGGTTTCCTTGATAATAGAAAATGGGAATAAAATAAGTTGTAACAAGTGATACTCTACTTTTACAGTGAGACTACATGATTCTATCTGTGCCTGTTGGAGATCTGGGAAGATGGTGATAGGAAAGTTGGCTCAGGGAACCTCAGATCTGGGATTTGAGGACTAAGTCTCATCCATTTCTTTATCCATGATGATACCCTGCCCAGAGAATGTGCTAAGTAAATGCAGAATTGAAGACAGAGAACTGTTGGGTCATCAGAGAAGTCATGACATATATTTCTATGTAAAAATGTGCCATGACTTCTCTGATAACCCAATACAATTATTTTAGAGAACCATTTCTGAGTTTATATAAAAGATCATTTTTAACCATTAGAAAAATTAAAGGGGGCCAGCAGGTAGTATAGTGGTTGGGGTGCTGGACTCCCACATGACTAACTGTGGTTCGAGTCCCAGACTCAGCAGGCAGCTTGAGGTCATGCCAGGCACATGTGCATGTGTGCCCAGAATCCCAGGAAGAGACTAGAGAAGAAGGGATTGCAGTGTTGCCATCCCCTTGGAGGGTCAATTTTTCACTTTCCCTCTCACCGTCTCTCTCTAGTGAGCACATGAGCCTTATAAAAAATAATAATAATAAAGAGTTTTTTAAAAAAGAAAAGATAATTAAAGAACTGTGTTTATTCAATGTGAAGAAGATTGAAGAAGTGGTTTAAGGTATTTGAATGGAAGTCTCCCTGATAGATTTAAGTTTAAATAGAGAATAATATACTTGATAGAAAATTGAGACTGGACACATAAGTATCCTGGGACTCAGAATTAGGTAGAGGAAAAAGAATCAACAGGTGAAGACAAATGCAAACCATCTCAGCACCTCTTCTGTGCTAGAGATTTTCTTCTCTGGTTTTTGTCTACATTCAGGGATCACGGCCTTTCTCCTTCTGTTTATTCCATTTTTACAGTCATTCTTGACTTGGTGATCTTATTAAGTTTGGTCATATTCCTTATCCTATTTCTTAGAACTATATTTATATCTAACAAAATAGCTCAGATATTATGGTATTAGTTAAATAATATTTTAAAAATATAAAGACCCTAACAGTACATAGTAGGCACAATGACACATAGTAGGCTATTCTTTTGCTTCTTATGCCACTCTTGTTACCTAAAGATGAGAAAGGTGGTGTGCAGTGTTCAGACAGTGCTGGTGAAAGCCATGGATTACACTTGCAGTGTTCTTTCAGGAAGAAAGTTGCCACATCTTTGCTTAATCCTTTGGTGTTGGTATTCCAGACTTGAGACTGTTTTCATTTTGATTAATCCCACTGTAGCAGCTCAGTAAGAAAGGTCCAGTCTTTTACTCTGAGACGTGACTTGTTCATATTTCCCCCTTCACTTCCAGTACTACATTATTTTCCTACAATCTTATAATTTCTAGTATAGAAGATATGTAAAAATCTATGTTGGTTTTATGACAGAGTTTTTTTTTTTTTTTCTTATGTTTACCTAGGACTCTGTAGCACACTTTTTTGTCCATAAAGAATCAGAGTATTCTTAGGGCACTTTTTAAAAAACTTTGTGTCTATTATAAATAAGGCCGTGTGTGTAAAGGCAGAACCAGAACTTCAAATGTATTTTGTAGCAGTAGCCCAGAATAAGAAGAAATCCCTCGATAAGCTCTCAGCAGACCAGGGCTCTTACCAGCTCATTCCCGTTCTGTTGTGATGCTTTAAGAAAGTCCTATACTTAGTTTTGGTTTCCTCATCTACAGAAAGAAGTCTCAAGGCTCTAGTTTTCTGCAGCCCTGCTAGCTCTAATATTTTACAGTTTATAAACCTGAACCTGCTCTTCCACCAAATGATAGCTGATCTGTGCCTTTATATATCTGTAAATTATTGTGGTAGATCCTAAACATCCCTAGGAAAGGTAAAAACGATACTTTGGCCTTTGTATCAGGGCAAGTGTTTTTCTCAGGGTGGCTAATTTGATACCTCTAAACTAAAGAACCCAGAGCCCAGAGGGTTCCTATGGACACTGTTCTTGACTAGGTAAATGCTGGTTGCATCATGCCCACACAGTTACTGAGGTTTTGGGATGACAACACAGAGACACCCTAAAGAACAGATGCAGAAGTCATATTTTTTTCTTAGCATGGGAAAACACAGTCATAAGATTCAAGAAAAATGATGCAGATACAGATTCAGAATGAAATTCAGAAAAAGAAATGAACTTGCCCATAGTCATACAATATTAGATACAAAAAATGAGACCAACATCAGGCAATCAGATACCCTCCTCATTGTATTTTTTATTCAATTCTGTTACCTCACATGATTTTTACCATGGTGGGGATAAATTACTATTGAATGAAGCATTTTGGGTCATAAAGGCATCAATAGTCCCCACAATTGCCCGGATCACTCTTGACAAATGAGAATAGGACAGACTTTCATAACACTCTAATAGCGAAACCTTTGTTAGAGAGTCTGAAAAGTCCCTTATTCATTTTACTTTGAAAGGAATTAGTTTTATATTCATTTTCTCAGCTCTTATCTCTGGAGCTCAGAAAGAAGGCAAGTTGAACTTGAATATTTAGTAGTATAGAAGATCTCTAAGAAAAATGCTGGCCATAGTCAAATTGATTGGTTATTTAGAAATAGGGTCCCTCTTGAATTTCATCCTTAAACTCCATTTGGGATTTCCCTAAAGTAATGGAATATAATGTGTGCTTATTAGAGAAGCTATCTTGGCAGATTTTCACCCCCTTTGGATAAAAGCAAAATTGCACCTAGCACATAAATTGACATATGAAGCAGTACATAATTCCATTGTGCAAGTTGTTTTAATGGACTCAAGCCAGAATGCTCCATTAACCAGCATGCATGGAATATTAATTGAGTTTAAGGTTTATTGCTAGGCCAGAAAAAAAAAAGCAGGAGCAAAGTACAGGGTGGTAGACTGGGGTGGAGAGGTAATAAATGTCATTTCAACAGTTGAGAAGGTGGGGGTCTGGAAAGAGAATTTTGAAGGCATGCATGATGTTTTTCTCTCTTTTTCCTTTTGTTTTCTATGTTTTTTCCTTTTCTTTCTTTCTTTTGGGCAAAGGATTAAGTGCCCCAAAAATACTGGGTGTCAACTTTCAAATATCATCACAAATCTGAGAACTGGGCAGTAGAATGTGCCAGGCTCTTTTCTTACTTTCCTTTTGTAAGAAGCGCAAGGATCAGCCAACTAGGAAGAAGGGTGTTATATGCATATGGGTGAGATTGTGTTTACACACATCTCTACATGGATAACTATTCAGAAACCACAATAGCATTCCCGAAGAATCCTTCCTTAATACAGGAAGTGACAGCTTTATGAAGGCACCACAATTAAGCTCTGGTTTTTCATTCTAGAAATCCTAGGATTTAATTTCTAGAAGAAATGAGACCCCTGTGATGCTCCGTAGGACTGTTTAGAATTACAGGAAACTTAATTTTAAAGCTTGTCAAATGCAAGACACCTGAGCATGGCTTAACCTCTAGGCATCTTTTTGAATTTAGAAATGTTTAAATCCACAAATCATATTGTAAATTCTAATGGGCACATGCAAAAGAAAGAGGCCCTAGAAATGACAGCTTTGTTATTCAACGTGGCCACATTCCTGTCATGACTTCTCTGCCCCTACCCCAAGCTCACATTCTCTTGCTCTGCATTTGGGTTTACCAGATGACCAGACCTAGGCTACACCAAGCAAAGACTTGAATATCATGCCTCAAGACTGTGTTTTCAGTGGGAAGGGACAGGCACAAATTCCCAACCAGCTTTGACTTGTTTGTTGCTGCAATTTCACTGATGGAATGTGTATAGAGAATAAAGAACAATGACATAAAGGAGATGAGGTCATGAAATTATCAATATCATATCATTTCTTTTCTCCTTGAAACTATCTCTTACCAGAACTAGCTGTTCTGGTTTCTGTCGTACCTGTTCAGCACCTCTTTCTCTTTCTTTTATAACTCTTATCATCAGGATGTTGAAATGAGGTCAATATCTATATTTTCAGCTCTAGCTACTGTCCTGAGTACCAGACACATTTCCAACTAGGCATTTCCACATAAAGTTCTCAATACCTTGAACTCACCATTTTTTTTTTCCTTTTTACTTTCTAAATTCCCTTGAGCAATTTAACAGGCTGGGAGGTAAACCACTTATCTCTGTAGCAATATAAATCCTGACTCAAGTATTATATTTCTTTATCTTTTTGTTTAAATCTAATGGAAATGACTAATCTAATGAAAAACTGCTTCCTTGTAGGAGACAAGGAGAAGGCCTTAGGATCTACTGGGGGAGTCCGGAGCAGCAATCCCTGTTATCTCGATGGAACCCATGGTCCACTGAGGTTCCTTATGCTACCTTCACTGAGCATCCTATGAAATATACCAGCGAGAAGCTTCTGGATATTTGCAAGGTAGGAGACAGCTTGACTATCACACTTTAATTAGATTTATAGGTGAAGTTATGTTCTTCTAAAGCATATGTAGTCATTTCTTGGTGTGTGCAGGGGTTTGGTTCCTGGACCTCCTGAAGCTACTGAGATCTATTGGTGCTCAAGCCATTTATAAATACTGGTGTATAGGGTCGGCAGGTGGCATGGTGGTTAAAGGGCTGAACTCCCACATGGCTGATCCCAGTTCCAAGTCCAGGACCTGGTGGCTTAAAAATCATGA